GGGGGGGTGAGGGGGTCAGCCCCACCCTCGGAGCCAGCCTGGCCCCCATGCACCCTGGAGCTGGGTGGCACCGTGGGCGCTGCCCCTCCCTTGCCCCTTCTCGTCTCATTGGCAAGTTCTGCCCATTCCAGACTCCTAACGAGTCCCAGCTGGGTGCCCACTCCGCCTCCTAGAGCAGGGGTGGGCAAACTATGGCCTGGGGCTGCATCCGGCCCTCCAGATGTTTTAATGTGGCCTCAAGCTCCCGCCACGGAGTGGGGTCCGGGGCTTGCCCCACTCCGCGTGGCTCCCAGAAGGAGGGGCATGTCCCCCCTCCAGCTCCTACGGGTATGGGCACCCAAGGGGCTCCGCTCTGCACGCTGCCCCCGCAGCTCCCATTGGCTGGGAACCGCGGCCAATAGGAGCTGAAGGGTGGTGCCTGCAGACAGGGCAGCACACAGCCACCTGGCCGCGCCTCCGCATAGGAGCCGGAGAGGGGACATGCCGCTGCTTCTGGGAGCTGCTTGAGATAAGTGCCACCTGGAGCCTGTACCCCATAGCCTCTCCCCATGCCCCAACTCCCTTCCCCAGCCCCGATCCCCCTTACCCTCCGAACCCCTCGGTCCCAGCCCGGAGCCCCCTCCTGCACCCTGAACTCATTTCTGGCCCCACCCCAGAGCCCGCACCCCCAGCCAGAGTCCTCACCCCCTCCCGCACCCCAACCCCAATTTCGTGAGCATTCATGGCCCGCCATACAATTTCCCTACCCAGATGTGGCCCTCGGACCAAAAAGTCTTCCCACCCCGGCCTAGAGCATTTCCTAGCCATGGCACCACGAGAGGGGGAGGGGACAGGCTGCAGATCCGGAGCAGAACCCAGGAGTCCCGACTCCCCTCCCAGCTGGGGCCAGATCCCAACCCACCGAGGGGCCCGGGCGCCTCACCTGCTGCGGGTTCTTCCACCACCTCTCCCACTGGTCTGTGTAGTTGGCCGTGATGGACAGGTAGCCGATCGGGGCATCGAACCAGACGTAGAACACCTGGGGGGGACAGGGACGGAGCGGCACAAGGGCTCAGCCCAGCTCCAGCCCAGGGGCTCGCTTGCCTTTGGCCAGGTCAGTCTCCGAGGCGGAGCCCGCTGCCCTTGCCCAGGGCACATACGTGGCACCCCCGTGCCCAGGGGGCACCCAGGGACGAAGCAGGGCGGTTCCTCAGGGGCAGCATGTCCCAGGCCGGCCCGCCCCAGAGCAGGCCCACGGCTGCAAGGCGGACGCCCCGCTGGAGCGCCAGGGTAGAGGACGTTCCCGGTGACAGAGTGAGCAGCAGGGGGTCCCAGGCAGAGCTGTTCCCGCCCCGCCCGCCCGCGGCCCAGCTCACCTTGTCGCGGAAGCCGTCCAGGGGGACGGGCGTCCCCCATTTCAGGTCGCGGGTGATGCAGCGGGGCTTGAGGCCGTCGCGGATCCAGGAGCGGGTAATGAAGCGGGAGTTGGCCGTCCAGTCGCCCGTGGCCCACGACTGCTCCAGCCACTTCTCCAGGAGCCCCTCCAGCTGCCGGGGGACGAGAAACGAGCCGGAGCTAGAACCCGCTGTTGCAGGATTTGGGGGGGGGGGTCCTCCACCCCCTGTTCCAGACTCTTCCCCCCACCCCGCCCCCCTCAGGCAGCTGCACTCACCTTGGGCAGGTCCAGGAAGAGATGCTGCGAGGACTTCACCACCGGGGAGTCTTTGCACACTTTGCACTGAGGTTTCTGGGGGGAGGAAGCACACGGCCTGTGAAGCACCGGGGGGGGGCGGGGGGGGGGGGGAGAGATGCAGAGACCGCAGCGCATGGGGCAGGGGCTCATGGGCCGATGGGCACAAGCGAAGAGCCGCCTTCCCAGGGTCCTTGGGGAGTATCACGGCGTGGGGGGCCCGACTCCAGCCCCGCGTGGCCCCGGGAGAGCGTCTCTACCCCCCGCCGACTGTGGTACCTTGAGCTCCACCGCGTTGATGAGCTTCCCGCACTTGTCACACTGGTCGCCCCGGGCCTCCTCGTAGTTGCAGAAGGGGCAGGTGCCCTCCACGAAGCGGTCGGCCAAGAAGCGCTGGCAGCGCTCGCACCGCAGCTGGTCCACGGTGTCCGTCAGCAGCATGTCGCGCTCCAGCAGGCGCCGGAAGATGTCCTGGGCTATTCTGAGACACGCCAGGGAAGGATGGGAGAACAGCTCCCCTAGAGCAAGGGCCACATTAGGGGCGCTGCTTCCTCCCAGCCACCACCCCCAGACTGCAACAGCTGCTCAAGGAACCCGGAGGGCAGGTCGTGCCTTGGTCCGGAGGGGGAACATCTGTCCATGCTCAGTTAAGTGCCCAGCGCTCGGGACATCAGTGCCCAACGCGCCAGGCCCGGGAGACAACTACCGTGTCCTGACGGAGTCATGGCAGCCCCAGCTCTGCGTCCTCCTCCCTCCCCGGATCTCGCTGCTCCCGCGCACCCTCCCCAGAACGGCGCGACACCTACGTGGTCTGGTGGGCCGTGGTGGTCCGGCCGAAGTAGTCAAAGGAGATGTCGAACCAGCGGTAGATCTGGGTGTGGATGGCGTTGTACTTGTCGCAGATCTGCTGGGGCGTCAGCCCCTCCTCCAGGGCCTTGGTCTCCGTGGCCGTGCCGTACTCGTCCGTGCCGCACACATAGAGCGTGTTCCAGTTCCGCAGGCGGCAGTACCTGGCCGGGGGGGTCGGGGCGGGGGCGCCTTAGAAGACAGGATTCCCTGGAGGGGGCTTGAGCCCCGCTGCCCTCGGGGGCTGCAGAGGCCCGTGGGGTTTGAGAGCTGCTGCACTGGACCCCTTGGGCGGGGGCGGGGGGGAGGGAGTTGTGGGGCAGGCTCTGGGAAGTGGCCTCTAAGCCCTGTCCTTGGGCACCCTTCTATCTCATTGACCCAAGGGGACAGACGGACCTACCGCCCCTGGTATAAGTGCCCGCGCTACCCAGGGCCATGGGTGCCAGTCATGCCCACACAGCAGCGTTGGCCCCCTCTGCCAACCCAACCCTCGCCCTCCTCCTGGCTGGGAAGACCCTGCGTTCCCCTTCCTCTAGGAGCCCAGCAGGGCTGCGCTGGGGGCTGGCCAAGGCTCCCGGCCAAAGCCGCCAAACCGCCGGGGCCTGCCCCGGGCCACCGTACCTGGCGAAGACGTCGGCACTGAGGACGCAGCCGATGATGTTCCCCAGGTGGGGCACGTTGTTGACGTAGGGCAAGGCGCTGGTGATCAGGACGTTCCTTCTGCCCTCCACGGGCAGCCTGGGGAGAGAAGGGCCATGAGCCGCCCAGGGACGGCAGGACACTGCAGAACAAAAGGGAGGGGGATCCTGGCCTGCAGGCTGGGGGCAGATGGCTGGGCCCTTGACCCCCAAACCAGCAGGGGCTGGGTACGCTGCCCAGGGAGAGAACAGGACGAGGGGCCTCCTCCCATCGCTCCCCTAGCGATCATGGGCCAGCCAAAGGGCCTTTTGTGACGAAGTGGGAATGTTCTTAATGTTTTCTCTGAGTCGTGTGTGAGTGCCTCAGTTTCCCCTATGCATTTCTCGAGTGTCTGGGGGGGGTGATTGTTGCAGGGCCCTAGGGGGCCAGTGTGATGGTGTCTGCACAAAGAATGGCCGACACCCTGTCTCCTGGCAACTGATGGCCTGGGCCCCTCCCCTGCAAAGGTGCCAACTGAAGGTGTTGGAGAACAAAGATCAGGTGGCCTCCTGGCGGGGAAAGAGACAAAGGTGAGAGGAGGGGCTGGAGAGTTTCAGTTTGGAGCTGGCTGGGAAAATGGAGGGGAGGCCAGACAGACCTCCTGGCCTCCCCTGGCTCCCCAAGATGTTCCTGACTGAGGGGGTCGTGTTGTCTCTACTACAGCTCTGTTTTGAACTGTGTTCCTGTCGTCTAAATAAACCTTCTGTTTTACTGGCTGGCTGAGAGTCATGGTGAATCGCAGGAAGCGGGGGGTGCAGGGCCTTGTCTCCCCCACACTCCATGACACCTTTCACGGGCGATGGAGCCGGCCCCTTACACAGCAGCGCCTCCCGCCATGGGCGAGCTCAGCAGCCAGTCCCGCGCCCTCCAGCCCTCCACTCAGCCCCCTTCTCCCCGCCCCGTGGTACTCACACAGGGCTCGCCGGCTGCCAGCGTTCGGGCAGGGCTGCCGGGCCTCTGGCCCAGGCTTCCGCGGCGGCTGCGATTTCTTCCTCCGACAACGAGCGCTCGGCCAATTCCTCTTCCTAGCGGGAGGGATGCCGGATGAGCGGCAGCTGGGCTTGGCGCTAGGGCCGCAGACGCTCAAGGCAACGCCACCGGCAGTGACAGCTGCCAGCTGGAGCCCTGCACCCCAATGTGGGGCTGGAGAGCGTCCCCACGCCCGGGGGAAGGGCGGGCACTGCTCCAGGCTCCTCCCGTGAAGCAGGCGCCTGCACACCCACCGTAAGCCTCGCTGTTCCCAGTCGTGTTTCCATTCAGCTGGTTTTATGACACACACTCGGGTTTGGGGCCCAGAGCTCAGACCAGCCGCTGTTTAAAGGCCTGTGGGTTTCTCTGACCAGCAGGGATACCCCCCCACCCTACCCAGCTTGATCCCCTGGGCCGGGCAGAGAACAGCAGCAGCACGGGTCCATGGCTGAGCAGACGGGGCCAGAGAGGCTCTGTAGAGCACCTCTCTCTTGAGACAGTTTCCATGCTCTGAAGAATTGCGGGAATCCCCAGCCTGGCTTAGTTCCCAGGTTCCCCTGGGCAGGGGGGCAGCCGTGCCGGAGCAACGGGGGGACGGTACCTCTGGCTCGTTAGCTGCTGGCTTCTCCCAGTGCAGGCTGGGCCCTGGCTGTTTCTGCAGATAGGCTTTGAACTCCTGGGCTCCCTGGGGCGTCAGCACGGACGCCACGGCGCTTCTGCAGGGCTCCGAGAGGTTCATGGTCTGGAACCAGCTCCTCAGAGCCTCCAGCTCGTCTTCGAAAGAGAAGAAGGGTGTCAGCACCAAGAGTGTCACCCCGGGTGGGCGCAGGACCCTCGGGGCGCCAGCACCACGGCCCCCAGCAGCAGTTCTTACCTGGCAGGCAGAATTCATCCCGCAACACAGGGAACAGGGTGGCCCACAGGACAATGTCGGCTACCGATTCTGCCTCCTAGAGGGAAGCAGAGCGCGTGAGGGCGAGAGCAGTGGGGAGCTGGACGCCGGGGGTCTTTGTGCAGCCATGTTTACTGCAGGAGAGCGGTACGTCCCTGCAGCTCCGAGCGAGATGCGAGCGTTGCATGCTGGGACTCGGCCTCCGCGGGCAGAGCTCACCACATCAGAGACAGAAGCTACAAGCTGCTTCCTTCACGTGACTTTGGGCACCTGGCCAGCTGCCCGCATGGCCATTTGTGGGGTGAAGCCGGGGCTCCCCATGGCTAACGATTTAAGTGATTCTAAAGATCAGGGGACCAAAAGCCAGGACTCCTGGGTTCTAGTCCCAACCCGGCCTTGCCCCTGCTGTGGGAGAGACAAGGCACTTCAGCTCAGCGGGCCTCGGTTTCCCCAGTCCGTAAGTTACTCACCCCGGCGAGGTAAGGCGTCGCCTTGCTGGTCAAGCTTTGATCAATGTAGGTTAACGTTTTCCTGATGGCCCCCAGAACCTCTCCTCCTTTCTTTCCTTGCACCAGGTGGCAATACAGGGCTGTGGACACGGCCGGCTAAGGACAGAGACAAAGGTTTAGCTGGGCCGCAGCAGCGTCGGAGAGAGCCCGCGCGTCGGACACGCAGCGCTTCTCCAGGTGACCCACCTGCAGCTCCGTTGCTTCCCATTCAAGCCACTGATTGGTGAGATCGTTGGGCTCCTTTCCAGCTAAGAGGAAGAAGTACCTGCAGGACAGGAAGGAAGGGGAGCGCTGAACGCACGTGGCAGATCCAGCAGCCCAGGTAACTCCACTCAGCGCCCGTCACCGGAGCCTTGACTTCCCCACGCTCACACAGCACGTCACCGACCCAGGAGTCCCAACGTCCCCTTTGCTCTAACCACTAGGCA